TTGTTGGTCATACCCAAAACACTGCTTGGCAGTGACCAATGAAGCTCTGGACGATATCTGAAATGACGGGCACAGATATGCTAGCCATGTAACACATGACCTCTTCTGTTTTCTCATTTTCAAAAAGAAGAAGAAGAAGAAAAACACGGATGCTGCTGCGATTGAGTGTACGTGTTTGCATAAAGCATTTAGAACGACTGCTCCACGAATGCTCATCATTGTGGGAGATATCACATTCCAGTACACTGGTCGTGGTGTTAGGGAGAAATGCAACATGGCTCTATTAGGCCATGAACACTATTGGACGGAAAGAGAGCAAAGAAACGACAAATCCTTGCCTTCCCACTCCTGGTTCCTCGGGGTGTTTGCTTTCCCCGTGTTTGTAGAATTGACTGGTGCCTGCAAACCAATGTCCTCTTGTATTTCACCCTCCAAGAGGCCCCTCAGTGACATTCTCTTCCTGGACATCATGTCCACATACAGTCACCCCACCTCCAAGGCTACATCAGAAAATGCATCATGATATTTCCCTCCTTCTCTTGGATCTTTCTGGTGGAAGCAATGTGCCCACTATGAGGAGGGGTAGTAATAGGGACACAGAAGCCTCTAGCTGACACCTGGGAGGGGCCACCATAGATGCAAATCCCATTCGAGTTAAGATGTCAGATGGCTACAGCTGGCCAACATCTGGACTTGGGGCTCGAGACATGACCTGTGCCAGAACCTCCCAGCAGAGCAGTTCCAGATCCGTAGCTTGTAAAAACTGTGGTATAATGAATATTTGCTGCTGCATACAACTGGTTTGCAATGTAACTTATTGCACAGCAATAGATTCTAATGCATTCTTCAGTGCACACAAGAAGGCCTGAGTACTTACTCTAAGAACATTAGCATAAGATAGAGAAAGGAGACCCAAACATGCAATTCTAGTTACTAGGAGACTGAGGCAGAAGGATTACAAGGGCTACAGAAAGTTTGTGGTAGGCATTGGCAACTTAGCAAGGTGCTGTTTCAAGATAAAAGTCACAAAAGGGCTGAGGTGAGGAGATGGGGCTCAGGGGTAGGATGCTTACCTAGCATTTGCCAGGCCCAGGGTTCTGTCCCCAGCACTACACATGTATTACCATGTCCCACATCCATACAAAGGCAAAGGAAAGAAATGCAAACTTTTGAAGCATTTCCTTCATTTTCCTCAGGGACATAGAGACTGGCCCCAAGGGTTCTACAGTGTCCTCTGTCCGTCACGCTCCCATCTCTCCACAAGTGTCTGAAGACACAAGCTTTAGCACAGGTGAGTTAGGCAAAGGCAAAGACTGGACTTTTCCTTCTCACAACTCCTTCTGGGAATGTAGTCTCAGAAAACTTCTTAACTCACTAACGAGGGGCAAGAGGTGAGCCTCCAGGGCCTGTTTTATTCAGTTCAAGGTCTAGGGCACAAGTGTGAGGGGAGGAGAGTGAACATCCATGAATGTTTGTGCCCCGGGAGAGGAAACACAGCAAGTGTGAAGACAAGAGCCAAGAGGAGAAGAGGGTTAAAGGCCAAAGGCCCCCATGTTAATGATTCTTTTTTGTTCCTTCTGCCCCGTCTCTGCTACCTTAAATAACTGCTAGCCCTGTATGATAGGTGAGATGCGTGCATCGTGAATTGGAATGGAGGAAGGGCTGAGCCTTTGCATCAACACCTGTCTTGGAATCAAGATGCTCAGCAGCTCTAAAGCACAGAGTGTAGGAGACCAGAGGCGCGATGGCATTTCCCCGAACTGTAATACAGGGAGGGAGGGCCTTTGGGATCCCCGTGGACATCCTGCATCAATGAAATGTCTGGAAGGATGAGAAGGAGGGAGGAAGAGACGGAAGAAAGGGGAGAAGGGTGCATAGAAACAGATGAGCTCTCCTAGGAACCTCCTCCTTATCATTGTATAGTCAAACTTCTCCGTGGCAGAAATTTTGTAATTATTTATGGAATAAATGAATGAGCAAGTGAATAAACAATACACAAACAAATAAACTGATCAATTAACCTGCAAGTAACAATCCGATGTAAGTACTCTAGCTATCCACTCAAGCTATTCACGCAGGGCTACAGCGGGCCTAAAACATCTGCCTTTGCTTTGTGAGCTTACACAATTTATCATTACAGAGATATCTATCGACTTACACACTGTCTATAACATAATGCATCATGGCTTACAAAAGACATGATCTCTCCTCCTGGCCCACCAGAAAAACGTTTGCATTCTGTTCTCGCTTTCTGAAGTCCATCTAGGGGCAGTCGGTTGCAGAATGGACACCACAAACCAATGCATGGGTCAGCCTGCAGGAAGCAGAGCTCAGAGGCTACAAAGGATCTCGCTTGCGAGATTAATGCTTTGCAATTCCCTTCCAACATTGCTTTAAGGTTCTGGAACCAACCATGCCACTCTGCTCTGCCTATCTGAAGTACACTGTCACAGGTGGGGTGTTTGAGTCTTCCACCCGTGAAGTTCCCCATCAGCCACACAGACTACATCCCCCACACAGCAGCTCTGCTGCAGGGCACCGGCTGCTGCAGATTAGCTCAAGCCCACTGTCTTTCTTCCTAATCACATGGAGAATTCCAATAAAAAGGAGATCATTCCAACGGCAGCTGTCAGCTCCGGTGCGGTCCTGGTAATTACCACCTTGTCAGATCTCGAAATCCTCCTGCAGTCCACGCCACAGTGCTGAATCCGTCTGAATTTATGAATTATTTGCAGAGATAATGAAAGCTATCAGATTCCTTTTCAACTACATTCAAAATGAAATTAGCCTGCAAGGCCATTAGGCAAAGATCCTCGCACCCTTAAATAGCAGACCTACTCCTTTCTCCAGCTAGACCACCGCCTCCCCCTCTTCTCACTGATGTCTCAGAAGGAGAGCGAACTAAAGGAACCACCTCATTAGAGTATGTACATGCTAATAAATGTGCATTGTGTAATATACAAGCATGTACGTACATGCACTGGACTTGAGGAGCCATACCTTTAGAAAGTGTGCATATTTTTATGAGTATACACACATACATGTATGAGTATGTGTGCATATGTATGTGTATAATGTATATATGTATGTGTACATGTGTATGTGTACTTGTGTGCCCGTGTGTATGTGTGCTTGTGTATACATTCATATGTTTATGTATGCGTGCATTATATGCACATGTGTGTATATGTGCATGTATTTGTGTGTACAGATAGATGTGCACATGTATGTTTATGAGCATACATACTTGTGGGTATGTACATATGTATGTATGTGTGTACATGCACATATATTGCACTAATTTCTTTTTTATCATTGTGACAAGATATCTCACAACTTAAGGGAGACTCAAAACTTTATTTTGGCTCAGAGGTTGGTAGGGAATTTATCATAGCAGAGAGGCCTGGCCGCAGGATGGACTCAGCCCATGATGGTGCATGACAGAGATCTTCAAAGGTAGCTGAGAAGGAAGCAGAAGCAACAGGCCAGGGAGGGCATACCCTTCAAAGTCCCACCCCCATCAGTGACTGCTTCTGCCAGCCATGTCCCAACTCCTAAAGGTTCCACGACCTCTCAGAAAGTACAATCAGCTGGGGAGTAAGTATTTAAACACACGCGCCTATGGGGGACATTTCAAGTGTGACCCATAACAGTAAACATGTATATGTGCACATGCAAGTGTGTATGTGTGTGTGTGTGTGTGTGTGTGTTTAGACATATGTGTATAACTATAAAAACTACTCATTCTGGATTTTAGGAGGATAAGGGGGTTAAAACAGAATTTTATTTTTTATTCCAGGCTGGCTTGGAACTTACTGTGTAGCTCAGGCTGACCTGAAACCCACGCAGTCTTCCTGCCTCTGCCTCCCACATGCTGGGGTTTAAGGAATGAGCCTCTACAGCTCAGCTAACAAGCTGCTTTTCAGTTCAAATGGGATGGTATTCAACATCCTTCTCAGTCTCTCCCCCTTTCAATGCTCACTACCGAGGGTGACAATGTGGAAACCAATCCTTGAAAACCAGACAAAGAAGCTACCATGACACTAGGGTTATTCTTGGTCTTCCCTGCTCTTTCCATTGATTATGTGGTAGGTGATTTAGAAATGTGTGACTCTAGCCTTCTTCTTAAAACCCTCCCTACCTTCTAAACATCTCAGCAACAAAACGACTTTCTAGCCCAATGTACCAGTGGCAGGAGCTGCCACGCATTCACCAAGCAAGCCCTGCCTCCTGTGTGGGTGATCAGGGGCACACAACTGAATTCTGGTCAAAAGAAGAAAGAGGGAGAGCTGAAATACCATTTCCAGGCCCAGTTCATCCAAGCTGTGCCACAGGATCTCCTAAGATTGCTCCCTCCTGTTGCTGAGCAGAAAGAATTCTGTAGACCTTGGGGCCGTAGAGGCTGTGAGATGGAAGGAGCCTGGACTGGAAACTCAGGTGGAAGCCACAGGTAAACCTCTACCGAGTCTGGCGTTTGCCTTGTCCCATGCTTGGCCTCCACAGTATGGAGGCTGAACCAACCCTGGTCTATGTTCTGGTTTCTACGCTGAGGCTGAGGAGGCTACACCTGCACCATAGGGGTGTGTGAAAGAGGCTCTCTGCTCACACAGAGAAAACTTCCAGGAGGGCAGGGTAGGCCCTCAGACAGGCGTAAAGATGGCTCAGAGGGCAAAGACGATGCTGGAGTCTGCTTTTGTTGTACTTACGGGGGTAGATCCAGGCATGGATCCCCACACATAGTCAGTTTTCTGTGGTTTGGGCTTCTGGGTGGTGTAAGAGAAAGGAGAGAAAAGGTAGTGAGAGTGATGGGCATGGAAGCTGTCAATCACCAAACATGAAGCCAAACTCTCTATTACTCTGTAGCTAGGACTGCCATAGTCAACACCAAATTGAACCCATTATTTCCCCCTAAACAATTTATCTTCCTCAAGAAATAGCCCAACACATGACCATTAATGGGTTGCCCATATCCTAGTGGACGGCCCAACACCCATGCATGTGTGGGTATCACTAATTGAACTCAGGGAGTGTTCTAGTTTGCTTTCTGTTGTTACGATATAAACACCAGGTCCAAAAGCAGCTTGGGGAGGAAAAGGTTTATTTAATCTTACAATTCCCTGGTCATACTCCATCACCAAGGGATGCCAGGCAGGAACTGAAGGCATGATCTGACGCAGAGGCCGTGGAGAAAGCATGTGTACTGGTTTGCTTCTCTCTGACTTACTCAACTGCTTTTCTTACATAACCCAGACCTAACTGCCTAGGAATGTCACCACCCACAGTAGGCTGGGACTTCAGAAAAATGCCTCAGAGACAAGGGTACAGGCCAGTCTAATATAGGTAATTCTTCCGTTGAGGTGCCCTCTTCCCACACTACTCCAGCTTTGTGTTAGGTTAGTAACCAAAAATAGGACATGAAGTTGGGAGGAAGGAGGAGTGACGGACACTAGGGGGAGCTAGAGGGAGGTAACAGCAGGCGAATACAATCAGAATAATCAGTATAAATGTACGTTTTCAAAACTAAAAAATATTATTTAAAAAAGGAATAGCCCCCAAACCTGCCAAAACATCCCCTTTCCGTCAAGCCCCACAGTTTCCACCTCTTCATAGCAGTCTTCACAATTATCCTTTGTATCTCTTCTTCCCTGGGCGAATTGAACATCCCAAGAACAAGGGGTTCAAGCCTGAAGCCCACTCCCTGGGGTTGAGTCCTGGACACAAGTCTACCAACGGCTCATTTGTCATCTCTGAGAATATGTTAAGTCTCTGTCACTTCAGTCTCCTCATTTGCCAAGTAAGAATTAGTGATAGTACCTACCCCTTGCCGTGACTGTGTTCATAGAATGTTCAGGCTATTGCTTGGCACTCAGTAAGTGTTCTGTGAATGCTAGATCCAGACACCTTTGTAATGTGTCTCTCACCTGAATCTCTGCTATACATCCATCTCCCAACCCATCTGACTTTGTTGGAGTAGGTGTGGATTTGTTGGGGGAAGTATGTCACTGTGGGGGTAGGTTTTGAGGTCTTATATGCTCAAGCTATATCCCGTGTGGGACACAGTTTACTTCCTGTGGTCTGCAGATCAAGATGTAGAACTCTCAGCTTCTCTAGCACAATGTCTGCCTGCATGTCGCCATACTTTTTACCATGATGATAATGGATTAAACCCCTGAAACTGTAAGCCAGCCCCATCTAAATGTCCTCCTTTATTAAAGTTACCATAGTCATGGTATCTCTTAACAGCAATAGAAACCCTAACTAAAACCCTAACTAACACCATACAAATCTACCATGTTTCTGACTTTTTTCTTAATTCTCAGTCATATAGGGCCATTTGGGCCCTCTCTTATACTAACTCTGACATCTCTAATTTACCCCAACAACAGGGGCCCAGTAGAATAACCAGCCAGAGATACATCCAACTCCAGCCTAGCAGTCACTGATAAATACCCAAACGCAATTGCTGGTGCCATTCATCCACAACAGCTAATGCTATCCACACACGTTAAGTATCAAAGTAAATGGTCATCCCTGAATCCGATGAGGAGTGATATTCCTGGCAGAACTATCCAGAATATAATAATCTTGACAATGCTTAAAAACTCTATCTCCAATGATAAGGCATGCAATTGTGGATTTACTGAAGAATTCCTTTTGATTGATAATCGTGGAAACTAGAAAGTTCTACCAAAATTAGAATTGGTAAGGATTTCACCCTTGGATAAAAGTTCAGCAGGCTGAAAATGCACCCTATAATAAATCTGTTAGTGTCTACACATTGCTGTAAGAATTTGATATTGCAAAACCTGACTCGGGAAATTTGGACCTAGTAAAATTAGTGGTTCCACGGAAAACTCACAGGGGCAGAAGCTATAATTTTAGAAACCTGACTAATCTTCATGAATTTTTCATGGAAGATAATTGATCTCAGTGAAAATAGTTTTAGAAAAATGATAATGGAAAGATTTGGAGCTGATTTAATGAAGCTATGAATTAAACTGGCTGAGCACAGTGCACTACAGAAATAGCTTCCTCAGTAAAGTCACCAGCATGGACAAGGTTCTCCTTTAGGGACTCAGAGCTCTAGACACGGGTGAAATACTAACCTTGAGGGTAACATCAAACTACAGCATCAGAGATGTCTATGCGCTACCAGTCAGCAGTCTTACAGAGGATGGGTATTCCGCATGCCAAGGACAAACGTTTAAGGAGCAGCAATTTGTTTTCCTCTCAGCCTTTCCCTCTAATAATCTATTTATTATTTATATATTTAATTTATTGCTCTATAAGCCTTTGTAGTGTGCCTCTCACCTGAGTCTCTGCTAGACTTGAAAAATTCTCCCAACCCAGCTGACACGCTAACGCCAGAGTGCACTATTAAGCACAGAAATCTACCACGTTTCCGACCTTCTTCTAATGGTTCAGTCACATTTGGACATTTTGGCCCTCCCTTGTACTGACTCTGACCTCTCTTTGCTCCAACAAAAAGTGCCCATAAAAATTTAATTTATGCATTAATTTTTTTTTCCAGCACTGGAGATGAAGCTAAAACCTCGCACATGCTAGGCAAGCATGCTACTGCTGGGGCACATCTCCGGCCCTTAGAGTTATTATTGTAAATTACTGTAGAGAAACTGCTGTGACTATGTTAATAATCTCTCATATCTGTGCTGCATATTCCACACTGTAAGTTGATTTCGTGAAAATATTTTTACTCAGTGTTCATGTCATCCTTGCAAAACCATTCATTAGTGTTCCTCCCTCACAGCTGAGGGAACTGAGACTCCGAAAGGCTACGAAATGTGACCGACACCACACAGTCAACAAGAAATGGAATCAGGTCCTTCCCACCTCAAGACCGGTGCTCATTCGATGACGCACTGTAAGAGTGCGTACGTTGGCTGGTCAACCACACAGCCCTGGCTGAAAACTAAGCATAAAGAAAGTATTTGGTGATGGAGCCAGGATCCCCATCATTCCTGAATGCCTTACACCCCAGTGTCAACTCTGAATCCTCAGATTCTACTCCCCTCTAGCTGCTCTAGAGCTCTGTAGGTGGAGAGAGGTGGTGTTTGAATAAACACAGGCTGAATCTCATTACACACCTCAAGTCTTCTCTCTCCTACTTCCCTTGGGGCCAAGCTGACCAATCTCACACACACAATTGAACTTGCACAAAGAAGGGCAGGAGAGGAGGCTAAAGTCATTCTCTAGAGGTGCCCGACACTCTCTTCCCTTCTAGAATCCCACCGTATCAGAGAACTCCCTGTGGACAGAGTAGGAGATACTGAGCTTGTTATTTCCTGAGGTACACCCCAACAGCCAGCTCTGCAAGAGACTTCAAGCCACTTGATGGCACCTGCGGAATTAGGCATGAGTTTCCTGTATGTCACTCCTCAAATAACGCTGTTTTGACTACCAGCCAAGACTCTCTCAAGCCGATAAACAACATTCAAAGGCCAGCCCTTTGCTCTTCTTGGGTAAGGGTTCCCTAAATTGTTCTGTACCTGAAAGATAACGACAGAATTCCATCAGTCACTCTGCGTCTGGAGGAGCAGCTGTCTGCTCCCTTAGGTCTGAGTCCATGTGTCAGTGATTAGAAGATTCTAGATGTACCTCCATGTACCTCTGACTATCTGCTACTGAACTCAAGAATGTTCTGCGGTACAGGCATGGCAGGTTCTCACATAGTTGAAGCATTCCTCTTCCAGAAGCTTCTCTGACTAGAGATACCATGCTCTGAATATGTTCACAATTCTGTGTTCTGAGCTCCAGAAAGCAGCAACTACTCCACTACATTCTCAGTGAATCTTCTCAAGTGCAGAACTGTGGGTTGAACAAGCTCCTCACAGTGAGCCAGGGAAGCCAAGGACGCCAGGGCCTCTCTCCAGCCTTTCGATCACTGGGCCCGACTCTGCTGTCCTGTGAGGAAGGCAGATTGCGCTCTTAACTGCATGAGCCATGAGTCTAGTAAACACCCACCACTCAATCTGGTCAGCCCTCAAGTCCTTCAGCCCTCATCCCTTTGAATTTCACAGCTACCTTTAAGCCCAGTTTTCAGACCTTCTGCTGATGTGTTTCTTCCAGGGTGTCTGAATAGCTGACTTTTTCTCCAATCCCTTTTCCTTTGCCTGATTTAACTCTTGTCCTGTGTTGATTGCTGTCTTTGAATGCAAACTGTATGAAACAGGTCAAGTGCAAGGCCCAAGGATGCCCACTCAAGAGGACCATCGTCTTAGGGTGACACTGCTCCATGAGACAGTTGAGACGCCTAGTTGAGCATCCTCGACTACGCTAGCATCCATATGCTACAGGGTCTGAGTCCGGCATGGATGGATCCTCCTTTCCTGTGGAACTGAAAGTCAATGTTGAGGTTCCCAGTAATGAACCCAGAACACGGTGACACATGTCTTAAATGTGAAATACAATCTGTGCTCTTTTCCTTATAATCAGACAGGGTTAGAGCTAGGGCTGCTGCTGAGTCTTATCAGTAATGTTTGCACTGGGTTTGCAGGCTGTCTTCACTGCAGGATCCAAACCCACAATTCTAGGCATGGGCCAATGGTTGTCTCATTATGGCTTACTGTGGTGGGCCTGACATTTAACTGGGCTCTCTTTCTCTTTCCTTCTCTTGTTCTGATATAGACACACATCATCCTGCCAGAAAGGTGATGCTTTTTTTGTGATGTGCCAAGCATTTCTGAAAAGGACAAGGGCCTACTGTTCACACTTCTGGTGATGTTTGAACAGAGACTCAGAGCTGGCATTTAAGTCCCTCTTGCTGGCTTCTCAGGTAGTCAAATTCCAGAGAGGATAATAAGGTCTGAGACCACTGTGTCTTGAAATCACGAGGCAGGTGTCTTCCCTGAGGTGCCTGGGGGTACAGTATGGAGACTGAATGAAAGAGGCTGTGCAGGGAGAGCAAAGCCCCAGAATCAGCTGAGAAAGAGGAACAGCTGCAGAAACGGGGCTTATTTTATGTACCAAGTACAAGAGCGGGTACCTTACGAAGCTCTCTTTCTGCTGGTTTGGACCACCCAGTGAAGTGGGTGGACGTCTATTAGGAGTGACTGCCCCGCACCCCAGCCGAGCAACTGCCATCTTGGGGATGTCAGCTGAGCACCTTGCAACAGGAATATCCCAGCTGAGCTGTTTACATCCCTTCCTGGACACGGGAGAGTCGAGAGACTCTCACCTCCGTATCCAGCTGCTCTCTGACAGGAACTGGACAGGTTAGTGTAGGTGAGATGGGGTGCAGTGGTGGCGGCAAGGGGGGTTCTCATCTATAGCTATGGGGAAGGAAGCTTCGCCCCTGATGGATGAAGACTTTCCAGGTGTGGCATTCTGGGGGCGGAGCACCCACACTCCTGTAAGTAACCCTTCACCCATGCTCTGTAAAGAAGCCCAATAAATTCATTGGTTCCCTGGAGAAAACTCCGGTTGACTCTTAGGAGGAGGGTGGATGCAGCTTACATCCGCCCCTGAGGAGGAATCTTGGCAAAGTTACATAGCAGAATATGGATTCTATTCACCCCAGTACTGCAGGAGGAGGTGTGGGACCCCCTTGAATGGGGACCTGAAGTGACACCTCAAAAGAAGAACAAAGGCCCCAAGTTAGCAAAGAAAAGTGGGACTAGGGTTTGAGGATAACAGCATTTTGTCATGCTTTGCAGAGTGGGTGTGGCTGATCTTAGCTCTGCCCCAAGCCCCATTCCTGGCAGTGCTGGGCATATTAAAGGGTTGCCCTCCTGCTGCTGAACTTGATTCCTTTTAAGACAGGCTCTCGCTGTATAGCCCAGGTTGCCTTGAACTCATGATTCTCCTACTCCAGCCTCAGAAGGCTGGGATTCTAAGCATGTGCCATCACACCTGCCTTGAAGCTTGGACACTAACGTCTCCAAAAAGGTCCCCAGAGTTGGCACCACTGGGAAGCTGTAAAATCTTTAGAAGAGGCTCTAAGACCCCAGTCTCTTTCTTCCCACCATGATGTGCCACCAGAAGCCCAAAGTCATGGATGGGGCCAAATAACCAGGGACAGAAACCTCTACACCCAGGAGACAAAAATAACTTTCTCTTTATAAGGTGGTAGCGATCTGTCAAGTTCACAGAAAGCTGAATGAGCCCCACATGATTTCAAGTGAACAACAGGAACAGCATCACCGGTGTCACAGCCAGAATGGACGAGAGGCCAGTCATGAAGGCAGTGCCACCAAGTGCTTAGACCCAGAACCCACCAGCCACTGTGTATCTACTGCTGTGTTGACAATACAGCTATTGTCACCTTGGTTACTGGCTCCCGTGATATGGTCACACAACTGTGCCAGAGTAAAGACCAGGGTGTGCTAATAAGTAAGTGCTCAGCTCGCACTCAGATGGGGGTGGGGGAGAGGGAGAGAGAGCAGGATGTCTAACATGTCCATTTGCCGAGTTCTGCGGTGTGAACACTTTCATCACGGGCAATTTCCACGTACTAATGACATCAGCAAACTCGCGGCTGGGAAGAACGAACAGGAACACACAATCACATGGCAGTCACAGTTCTGCCACAGACATGAGAGCTAGAACTCCAAGAGCCCACAGAATATTAACTGCGTGTTAGGAAGCAGGCCTGCAACTAGACATCTTTGTCTTCCGCATACTTAATCTAAGCTTACATAACTTTGGTGTTAAGAGTGGCCACACTGAACTGCTGGCGAATTCCCTAAAGAACAGAACACTTGGTTCCTGTAAGCCCCATGAGCCACTTCGAATACACAGTTCACTGGAAAGGAGAAAACATGGTTGCCACGTGGTGGTCAAGGGCCCAAATTCAAGACCTAGAAAAGTTTCTCGGGGCATCCAGGGATGTTGGAGAAGAACTACATGGGGTGTGGGAGGTGGCAGGAATGACCACATCGTGGTCAAAGTCTGGACGTTGTCATTTTGTTGAGGCTGTTTTGGGATCATGAGCAGCAACTAGAACCACACCCCAGTTCTGACTGAGGTTTTCCTGTCCTAGCAGAGCTGTGAGGAACGTGCTGGACATTCCCATGTCATCACATACAGTTCCCCGTGAGGAAGGAATGTTCTTCCTGTCAGGTACCTCACTTTCCCCGGGATCACCCGCCAGACTGTGTCCTCAAGAAGCTCTCCTTGCTTAGCTCCATCTCCCAGGGAGAGTCCTGCTGTAAGAGTGATCTGGAATCCATTCCTCCTTACTCACCTTCCATGCTTCATTTGGGGGTTCAGCCTTGGAGGAGAAGCGGCCGGGCAGATGGCCTGTTTGGCTCTAAAGAACAGGGGAAGGCTCTACACAGAGTCACATGCCACACAGTGTGGAAGTGAGCAGCCCAAGTCCCCCCAAAAGAACAGGATATAAAACAGAGCTGCGTGATAACGCTGTGTGAGGGCAATTAATTGTTGTCAAAGCATTTTGCTGGCTGCATTCATCGCTTACGTGGAGAATAAAACTGTCATAACGATGACAATTTTATTCAACATTGGTGCAATTACCGAGCCTAAAAATAGGGAGCAGGGGGATATTTTTCTTGAGGCTGAGCTGTTACCCTTGTCGCATGGCTGGGACTGCCACCCCCACCCCCAGGAAGGAGAGAGGACAGGAAGAAAGCTGAGACTCGCTGAGCATTGCTGCTATGAGAGGAGGGAGGGGCAGTGTGGAGAGGAGGGAGGGGCAGTGGGGGGAAGAGGGAGGGGCAGTGGGGGAGAAGGGAGGGGCAGTGGGGGAAGGAGGGAGGGACAGTGTGGGGAGGAGGGAGGGGCAGTGTGGGGAGGAGGAAGGGGCAGTGTGGGAGGAGGAGGAGCAGTGTGGGAGGAGGGAGGAGCAGTGTGGGGAGGAGGGAGGGACAGTGGGAGGAGGGAAGGACAGTGTGGGGAGGAGGAAGGGGCAGTGTGGGGAGGAGAGAGGGGCAGTGGGGGGGGGAAGACCAGAGAATGAGATTTCCTGGGCCAAGCTGGTAGAGACAGGCTCTGTGCTATGAGCTCTCTAGACACAGTTGACTTATGACAGCCATGGGAGGCGGCATGCCCCTCCTGTGACAGATGAGGAAGCGGGATCTCAGAGAAGCACCACTAAGATCGTCACCCCATCCTACCCAGAGCAGACAGGCACCCTAGACACGTGAGGCCTGCTGCTGTCCTGGCCATCATCAGTCGCTTTCCTCTTTCTTTCCCACATCCTATCCATCACCCTTCGTATACTACGTCACTCTTTTGGGAAAGCAAAAATACCAAGGCCCTGGAAGCAAAAAGACTCGAGGTTGGCAACTCGGCAAGTGCGACCTTGGCTTGGGTCCTTGACCTCTGTAGATTGTGTTCCATAGCTTCCAGCTATGACTATGAAGACAGTCGCAGTTCCTCCGTCATGGTGTCATTGTGAGGACTGAATGAGATGTATATCGAATGGCCGGCAGGAAGCTGAGGCATTGTGAGCAGGTAGAGGGCAGGGCAGAATTTCCTATATAGAGTACTCACCGTTATCAGGCATAGCAGATGTGACGTCATCAAGCCAGAGTGGAGCCTGACATTCTCCTCTCGCCTCAGCACAGGGTGACCTTATGTGACTCTCCACCGTCCATCCAGGTCACACCGCACAGCCACACAGGGCTACAGCAGGGAAACAGGCCCATACTCCAGGCCAGTCCAGGCACAGGCTATGCCCCTGAAGCACCCTGACCTGTGTGTGGTACATGAGTTCTAGCTTGCTCAACAAATGAATACTTGAGGCCCTGGGAAATTTGAGGCATTTTTCCTGTCTTGCTCACTCCTTCCTTTCATGGGGCATACAATGAGAGAGACAAAGTTAGCCACGCAAGCAAAATTCCGGGGAAGAAGCCTGCATGGTTCTAAGGCCACACCCCCCAGCAGCTGTGTGTATCTGCACGCGGCCTGCACACGGCTCTTCTCATTTACCGAGGCACCTGGCACACACCTGCGTTCCATCGGTAGTAGCCCATCAAACTTATTTTTACCATCAGGAAAATGAGCTTCTCCTGGGGGACTGGAAATTAACTGTAATTCCCATGAGATCACTGGACTTGTTTCCCAATCGCAGCTGATGGTGGGGGCGGGGGGGGGAGTTTGGAATGCTTTTTCTTCATAAATAGGTAAGAACTGCCCAAGAGGCACTGGCAGCTTTGAATGATTTTAAAGGACCGAGGGAAGAATCGCTCACCTCCCTTGAATCCATGCCCCCAAGCACTCCCTCTGCCGCTGTACGCCTTAAAATCTTTTCTCATAAAAGTCAGTGCTAGCCGCTGAACTTTAGCAGGACCTCAAGCTACGGGGGCGACAGAAAGGGCATGTTCTCTAAGTCAGACATCAGGTTCAAAGGCAAATCTTCAAAGTTCCCTCTCTTTAATACTGAGAAAACAGCTGGGTTTTGTGGAGGGTTGTGCTGGGAAAGTCGTCTACAACATGCAAAGCCTTGGAGCATGAATTTCCCAGTTCCACGTTGACAATTTTTCATATTGGTGCCCCCTGTCAAAAGCTACTTCAAGCCCTTTTGGAAGAAGGTGAAGTATGAAACACTCATCTTGAGGAGCCCACAGACCCCTTCCTTACATTCTCCATGTCAGCTACTTTTGTGCAGGGTGGTGATGGAGTTAGCTTTGCACCTGCTACCCAGACCCCAGCACTTGCTGGCCATACCATCCTGGGAATGGTACCCATCTGAGGCCATGCAGCCTCAACAAGTTACCAGGTACGGGGAAGGCATTCCCCCCAAATGTGGTTGCAGAGGCTTTTATGCTACCGGCCCCTCAGGGAAGCTGCATTTTGGTTTTGTTCTTTTTTGTGAGTTTTATTTTTTCCCTCTCTATTTTGTTTTCTGTAAAAATTTTTAGAAACACGGTGTCATTTTGAAACTGTTTCTCCTACCTACTAGTTTGCCAACCATATGGAGACACAGCCAACCCAGGATGGGATGGAATGAAGGAGCCGGTGAGGTGAGCCACTGAAGTTGTTGCTGCATTTTAAACATAGCACACACTGTGTTACACAAACACCATTCAAAAACCTGAGTCACAGGATTCAGATGGGAGCGTATATAAATAGTGTGGGGTGTGTGTGTGTGTGTGTGTGTGTGTGTGCGCGTGTGTGCGTGTGTGTGCGTGTGTGTGCGTGTGTGACTGTGTGAGTAATGGTAGAAAAGCAAGGAAGTTTGGGAAATCAGGTCAAAATCATTGTGCCTAATTTAAACATCACAAAAATCTCAGCCTCGTCACTATTTACACCCCCTCATACAACTCCCACCCAAAAAAGGAGCAAAAGCCAAGTGGAAAATTCAAATAAGCGGATGTCCCCACGTTGAACTGAGCAGCATGAAGGCTGTGCAGCATCAATTGAAGTGATAATTATGTTGTCTCGCTTCCTGGCTGTCCACACCACAGGAGCTCTGCTCTCTGTTCTGGGCTTCACACTGTTTTGAGGAGTTTTTTTTTTTTTTAGGCTTTGGCTCATGCCAGCCAGCTGATTGGCATGTCATGACTGATGGAATTTTGGTGCAGAGGCAGAATACATCTTGGGGATGGTGAAGAATTCACACCTGGGACATGTTGCAAACATTTTAAAAATCCATTTTCTCACACTCCTCCCCAGTTTGCACTGGACATAACTTGCTGCCAGCATGCTGCCCCACACCCAGCTCAGGAGGTCACTGCTTAGGATCTTGGACATAAACAGAGCCTAAAATGACATGGCAGCAGGTTTGGGGCAGACCCCAGATTTGGGCCGTGCAATGAGCAAATCTGGAGGCCACAGCTCTGGAAAAAAAGAGTCTTGGTATCCTTAGTATCCATGAGGGTCTCGATCATCTCTGAAGACCTGGCCTTGGCCCCGAGTCATTCTGTCCCTTCGTTGGTGGCGTCTAGCTTCCAGCCTCATTCCTGCCATCCAGACAGGCAGTCCATGTGAACTTGCAGGGCACCAATGCTCAGTGAAGTGGATGAAGAGAAGCAGCAACTGTAGCTCCAGAGGTTGCGGGTTTCATCAGCTACAAGCTGGCACCCCCAACGTTCAGAGGGGCTCTGCCATCCATGTGGAATGTGAACAGCGAAGGCAGCAACACACACAGCAGCAACTGATGCACATGGGTAACATGGCCCTGTCTGCCGTGTGACTCCAGTTCCTTCCGATCAGTCTCTGTCAAGCTGGGCGTCTCCTCCAGCCACAGCCGCAGTGGTCCCCAGCCTCGGCCTCTCCATCAGCAGGGTCTGAGTTAGGAGCTCACTAAGGTGTAGATCATGCTGGATGCAGACAGAAATGGGAAAACAGATGTCAGCAGGAGCCTACAGCTCTCAACAGTCCCCTTTCGAGGCTGGAGCGCATGGCTTCACCCCATTCCTATCTCGTAGGTGGTTTCCAACTCTCCTACTGAGGCTTTGCTCCCCCCTCCACACACACAAAATGCAGAAATGTTGGTCTGTTGAGATAGCATCCCGTGTCCCCCCATGAAAGGTGTGTTGTCTCAGGATGCCTGGGAGCACACTCACTGGGATGACGACTGTGGCTGGCCACACTGCATCATGGGCCAGGTGCCTATGTGGTGATGGCACAGCAGATTCTTCCTACCACCGCTGCTGCCACATGCTCACATGACGACTGTGCCCAAGGGTCCCCAGGTGATACTATAGAATGTGTCAGTCCCAAGGGTCAGGATGAAGATCACTGTCACCGATGCTAGTGTGCGTGCATGAACAATCTTCAGGGCAAATAGCATAGGGGAATCTTAACTTGGCATAGATTCCCAAACTCCCCACTTTAGAGGATAAACAGTAAGCAAGCAGGGAGACCTGCATTCCTGTGGCCTGACAAGGTCTTCAGGCTAACTCTACAAGGCCGATGAGGTCATCAGAACTACGGTCTACTACTCTATCTATTTAGAAGAGGAAGAAGCACAGCTTTCCACATGAGAGACCCCTCAGGTTTCCACAGCTTGGAGCAGGAAGCATCTGGACCCTTCATGAAGGATAAAATCCTGAGGCTGGAGTAACCCTTGACTTAATGAAGAAAGCCCTAGAATAATTCTTTGACTCCCCAAATCCTCACAGCTGAGGTTAACCATGAGGCTACACTTCCCAGGCCTCTCCATCTGCTGACCCTGGGATCGAGGGCGGAAGCAGGAGCAAGCCAGCCTTCCAGAGTGTCAGGTTCCACCTCAGACACATGTAACAGAGAAGTGTAGCACACACTTGTAGCACACATGCCAAGTGTAGGAGTCTGGATAGTAGATCTATTCCTACTGAAAGGCCTGGGAACATCAGCCAACTGTACCATCTCTATCCCCTGCCTATCTCTGTCCTGTCCCTCACTTTGATAAAGACTCATCTAGGGGTCTAGGCTCAGCTTGAAGTTCAGTCTCAGAGTCATACTTAGTGTGTGACCATGATCTGTGACCTTGGGAAATGTTTCTACCATCCCATCACAGATCCAGCTTCCTCCTTTTACATATGTGGGTAAGGATGGAATGTTTCTGATAAATGTGCCAATGTATATGGAGTTTGTTTTGGAATGTTGGGCAATGTAACTCCCCAGCCTGCAACACCCAATCTGAACCCAGGGTTGGCTGTGAATTTAGCACCCCCACCCTCTTCTGCCTCTGCAGAATAGCACTGGGGTGTTTGGTGACATCCATGACCCTGCAAAAGGAGGAACAGGATAGCAAGGTGATCAGGGAAAGGCCCCAGAAATGAATACAAAAGGGAGCAGGAGATATTTCCAGAACGAGGAGCCTCAGGAGTCCAGACCACAGGATGACAGCTCATGGCTCTCTGCTGAGCTAGGGTGTTCAAGGGATGAGGTGAAGAGAGGGACCCGGAAGTGGAGCTGCAAAGTCGGCAGGATTTGCTCAATTAGGACGGTGTTATGAAACACGGAAGAATTGCAGCCTAAGCACTTAATGACCCAATGTGCCACTCTGCGGGGTGTGCCTGCCACTGGAGGGAGAAAGCCCACTGTTACAGTACCCAAGAACCTTCACAAACAAGCGGAGGGCAAAGGATAATGAGGCTGGCTCCTCAGTTCACTGACACCCCAATGGGCTGAGCTGCTGGGCTCTGAAGGGCAGGAAGCCCTGCTGGGAAGAAGCCCTTGACAGACCTTCCCTTCCGCTGCCTCCTAAGAGATGTTATTAGATGCTTCCCTGAGTTGCTAAGATGTGAGCGGAGGCATCTTCCTTCCCCAGAAACCCTTGCTCCTGAGTCAAGGTTAGACAAGTGGGACCAGTCTCAACTGGCCAGGATCTGCTGTTAAGGGCCACTTCCCCAAAAGCTGCCTCTCCAAGGCCAGACTGAAATCCCTTCCCTTTGCTGCTGAGACCAAAGCCAGAAGGAGACAGGACTCACCAGTACAGGTAGTAGAAGAAGGACAGGAGGTAGAAGGCTAGCTTACACCAGGCCTCCTTCTGGCAGTAGCTCAAGGTGTCCGCGTTCATGACGACCGGTGGGTCATAGGCTAGTTCTGAGCTGTCTGCTGGACAGTGGAAATACCTGCAGGAAAGAGGACACGACAGTGATGTTTCTGAGGCTTGGGACTTCTCATGCTGTCAGACCAAGGCCCCCTAGCATCAGACTTGTCCCTGAAAATCTGTACTTCCTGCCAAAGTCAGATTCCAACCATTGCCATAGCACAACTCGGTGGGTGTTTAAGTCCTCCAACGGATCCCTGGTATCATATGATGGGGCTCTGACAGAAGGAAACATGTCACCCAGTATTATGGTCTGGATGTGAACTCTCCCCCAGAGGCTCATGTGTGGGCACTCTTGGTACCAAGCTAGTTGTCCTGTGTGTGTGGAGGGTATGGAACTCTTAGGAGGTAGGGCTTCACTGGAGGAAGTAAAGAAAGTTATAGGACAGCCCCACTTCCCAGCTCCCTGCTTCCATCTTCTGAGATGTAACAAATAACACTGCAAGTTCCTGCTGTCGCAGACAGAGTCCCAGCCACCACAACTTCACTGTGGCAGGCTGTATTCCCTTAACTATGAGCCCAAACAACGCCGTTCTGTTTGAGGATGACTCTGATAGCCTGGGAAGCTCCAAGAGCTCCCTTTGGGTCAAGACATGGTGGAAGAATTGTATCACCACCTCCTCGGTGTCTACAATCTGTCTACATAGTGCCTTGGGCTATTTCCCCCTCCCCAGATTCTCATTTAAACCCCTAAATACTACAGGGAAACATTATAGAGTCATTTCAAAGGCTATGGGAGTTTTGTTGTTGTTGTTTGATAGAGGGGCCGGAAGAGCAAACTGAACATCTACCATCTCTGGGGAAGCTGGGAAAGAGAACTGTAATTGGAAGAGTCCTCACCAAAGGTCACAGCCACATCAACTCCACAGCTGCAAACCAAGGCCCAGAGAGCTCGTACAACAAATGGGGCCCTTGTCCATGTCTGCATCTCTCAGTTCATGTCCCACCGACATCTGCAGGGCATATCTTCCCTGTGGAGCCCAAGACCCCAGTGCAGCTGGAATGGCCCAGTGCTGCTCTTTGATCACAGCGGGGATGGATCTTGGGAGGCAGGGGCCCAAGCTGCCTCTCCTGTCAGGCCTGGAATAGTAGTGATTCTCCATCCTGAAGCACCAGGCACGGCCCTGACCTGAAGGCTGCCATGATAGCACATACCTGCAGAGCTGGCATCTCAGTCACCTCGTCCTTCCCCTTCAGAGAATTGCATCGACATTATCTGTCATCAACACTATGCTAAGAGGACATCAGAAGCCAGATTCAATGACAACTGCCAGCTCATAGCCCCTGGGCCACTCGCGTCTCCTCTTCTCCAGAGCAGATTTCAAACCTATTTGCTGTCACTGTGGCTTTGTTCCCAGGTGACCTCATTAAATGGAAGCAGAGCATCAGGGTGACCAAATGGCTGGGTGGGAAGGACCGACTCTTTTGCTTGCTGCTCACCAGACTGTCCTTCCCTGGATCTATCAGGAACCCATCCTGGGCTCAGCCAGAAAATGGAGATGCAAATTGTGATGCTGATGTAAGGTGAGTATTCAAACAGCCTCCCAAACAGCCACTAAAAGGCAGTGGCCAGGCCATTTTGACTGAAGCAAAGTGAATGCCAGGGTAGACCTGTCTGCAAGAGAAATGCCGTGGCATCGACCTGACAGAAAGGAGGCAGACAGGCCAGGGGTGTTAGCTTAGTCTGTGAAGTGCTGCAAGCGGAGGACCTCAGTCCAGCATCCAAAGCTCATGTTAATGCTGGGCGTGGTGATGTGAGGTTTAATTTCAGCACTGGAGATATCCAGGCCGTGACAACTTTCCCTGGCCAGGACCCGTCTCCGTTATCTCAGCTCCTTATGTCTTCACCTGGAGTTCTGTTGTGTTCCTAGTTATGATTTTGACTTCGACGCATCTCTGCTGGTCCATCCTTCACACTCTGCCAGGATCAGCTCCTGAGCTCTAAAGCAAAGTCATTTTCCTCCTCCAGAACTTCTCATGGCTTTCCAGCCCCTACAGACCCCGAGCTCTCCATCAAATCCTCTTGGACTCCCCACATGAGATTTCCAGCTGTTCATCAACTGCACCCTCCAAGAGCCCCTCTCCAACCATGTGGAAAGATAAAATTGTCCCCCGAGCCTGCCAAGGGCTCTCTCATGTCTGGACCTTCACGCATGCGTCTCTGGATTTTTCTGCACTCTTCAGAATAACTTAAGTGTTTCTTTCCCTGCATTCCTACACATCATCCTCAGATGTCTGCTAAAAATGCAATTCCTTCTGCTGCTAAGATGGACCTAGGATGAAGATTCATACGTATTTCCATCTAGGAGTTCTCTTCAATGCCTAGCAAGTGGTGTGTGCTCCATACCTTTCTTAGCGACAGAGTGGACAGTTCTAGGTATGGCCAATTCAAGGCTGTATTTTATGGGAAAGCAGCAATGATGGACCAACTGGCTTGGGGTTCCAGAGCTCTGGGACTAAAGAGTTCAAGGCAGGAACCTGATTCACACAACTACAATCTCCACTTCTCTGGTGCCCACTTCTGCTCCATATTCGTCCTACAGAAAACCTACACCGTGTGATCCAAAGCCCAGTCTTAGAAGAGAATATTTAACAACATAACTGTCCCAGGAAATCTGGCACAACTAGTAGGTGCTTTTTTAAAAAGGAGAAAACTTAAACATCATAAAGTTTGCCCTTTTAATGTGTATATACAATTCGATGAATTTTAGTATATTTATAGAGTTGTACATCTGTCGCCACTATCAACCTTCAGAGCATTTTCATTACCCTTACCTTCAAAAAAATTACCCACTGGGAGTCATTTCCTATTTCCCCTCAGCACTTAAAAAGTACTAGTTTACTTTAAGTCTCTATAGATTTGAAAATTCTGGAAATCTCCTATCAACAGACTCATATAATGTGTATTCATTGGGTGTGGTACAATAATGTTCCATGGTATGGATATACATTTTCTCTACCCATTCATCAGCTAAGAGGCTTCAATGTTGTTTCCATGTGTTGGATACAGTGACTAATGTTGCAGCTGCTTCTCACACTTACCTGCAGGGTTGGGGTTGATTAACAGAGTCAAGAGGACTTACTTCCAGCTCTGGAGAGTAAGTTTGTTCTAGGTGACTTTGTTTGTCAGTCTGACATAACCTATAGTCATCTCACAGGGGACCCTAAACTGAGGAACTACCTGGATCACACTGACCTATGGGCATGTCTATGAGGGATTGTCTTGACTGCTGACTGATGTAGGAGGACCCACCCCACTGTAAGTAAGTGGTGCCATTCCCTGGTCAGGTGGCCCTGAGTTACGTAAGAAAGTTAGTGAACAGGAGTCTTCCAGTGAGCCAGCAAGAAAGTCTTCCGTCGTTTCTGCCTTCAAGCTTCTGCTTGAGTTCCTGCCCCTCAATAATGGGCTGTGACCTCTAGCCTGTTTCTTCTCTAAAGTCCTTAGGTCAGAGAGTTCATAACAAGGTTTCTAAAAGAACGAGATGAAAGGCAGGCTAGTGGCTGATCTATCTGGGCACACTGCCATTGGGTGGAAAGGTGAAGGAGGGGGACCAGTCCCCAAAGACCTACCTCCAAAAATGATAGAAAAGCAGGGGAACGTTCAGCCCCAGGGTGAGCCACTCCTGCGCACATAGGAACATGATGCAGAAGAGGCTGTGGATGGAGTACTCCGGCAGCACCAGCTGGAGGGGAAGCAGAGACACACACAGGCCTGGTCAGAGCGAGGAAGCTCGGCACCCATTCACTGCCTCCCAGGCGAAGGTCGGCCTATAGCACAGCCACTTCCTGTGACTGACCACATTGGGAAAATGCTCCGTGTTTGGGACCCAATCCCAAGTGGACACAGGCCCTCTGTCCTTGCCTGGGAACAGGGAGGAGCTTACCCAGTACCTGGGCTGTCTGGAAAAGCGAATAGTGTTCTGTATTACCTGCTACCTGTGTTTCCAGCTCCTCTGTGCCCTTCTCTAGCTAATAGGTGTGTTTATTCCCAATACAGGAAGGTGAGGAGTTCCTAATACAGAATAGCAATGGCTGACGATAGGCAGATCAAGAAGACCCTGAGAGTAATGCCAAGTAGCAATGGTGAAGATAGGTCACCTCTATGTGAAAGGAGAGAGATGAGCTCAGACTCAGAGGGGCCAGATGGAAGAGCAGCCAACTGGAAGAGGGGCATCTCTTCTGGGTGGGTACATGTGACATAAATGAAAACTGTAAGCTAAAGATGACTGGGAGGTGGAAATTCAACCCCTTCCAGTAAGGAAAGCTATAGGTATACAAACACACTCATGCAGGCAGAATGCATACACACACACAAACACGCATGTGCATGGCCTATGCATCATCACGAATGCTCTGGTCTGCCAACAAACACTCTCTTTCAAGGGCCATCTCAAATTTGTTTCTAAAGGAAGCCCTGCCCATCCTCTCCTGCACCACTCATCCGCATACCTGATCCCTTTCATAAACTTACAGAAGAGGAGAAATACTCAAGTTTCAATTCACCGACTATTGTCTAGGAGGTGAAAAAGAATATTACATTTGCACACTCGCATCTGTGCCATAGTACGTGCATGCAGGTCAGAAGACAGTTTGTGGGAAACAGTTCTCTCCCTCCACCACGTGGGTTCCGTAGATAGAGCTCAGGTTATCAGGCTTGGTGGCAAATGTCTTTACCTGCTGTCATCTCTCCAACCCTGTCATGACATGCTTTCTGACCCAGCCTTAGAGACCGTCCCATGATCTGTCTACATGGGTTCTCTCCCATGCCTGACACACTCCACAGTCTGACTCGGCCAGGGTCTATTCTATTCCAGTCTCCCTTTGCAATGTGCTTTGCATGTCTTCCAACACATGTGACCAAATGTACTGGCCTGACCTGTCCCATACTTCTATAGCACGGCGAGGTGACCCATGAGATGCAGTCTGTGGTTACAGACCTAGATCTCTGTGGGTGGGAACAGCTGCTTCAGATCACTCTCCTTGGGTACAGAACTTGACTTTAGCCTTTCACTGTAGAGAGATGAGCTACCTGACCAGTCTGGCTCCTGTGGAAAATGAGGACATATTCACACATTAAAACAAATGTACATACAGGCACACGTGTGAGAAACGTATTTTGTAATTGGGGGCCATCTTTGTTATCTGGTGGAGAGTGAAGCACATTAACCTGAAGTTACTCGGTTGTGAGCTTAGACTCAGACACAAGCACTGTTCCTCCAGAGTCATGACTTCAGGGGGTGAACCAGGCACACCCTGCACCTATGAATCTCAATAGTGTGGTGGGAGGCATGTCTCCTCATTTCTCCTTAGAGAACCTCAAAGTTGTCCTTACCAGCTTTATCTGTACCCAGCAGGGCATCACCCAGCTGCCTCCCACGCATAGAGAAAGCCCACGTTCTTGGAGCTACCATGCCAGTCCTGCTCTGCCATATACATCTCTAAATTTTGTAACCGTCACTTCCAAGCACTTATGCCAAGTAATTAGCATGTTTAGAGTCAGCTACTCTGGGCTGAATCATCCATTACAGCTCTATTCCCATCTCCAAGGCCAATGACAAACCTATGAATGGTGACAGTTCAGAATTCATGTCCCTCTATCAATCACATGGCTCCTCTTTCTTTGGGACTTCATTGATAGCAGAAGCTGTGACAAGCAGGAAGGATCTGTCACTAGTCCCTGTGTGAAGGAAACTGCTTAATAAAGGCCAGCTCACCTTTTAGAAGTAAGGAGAAAAGCTAGCAAATCCTTTCAGTATTCTGCATTGTTCTTCCAACCGCCTCTGAGTATCTAAAACACTGAGCAGGCTCCTCCCCTTAGCCCTAGGAGACTTCACGCAGCAGCAATGCCCTTGTGGTGTACTTACTATCCCTCCTGCCTCTCCAGTACCCCTTGTCACACTGATATGGACGATGTAAGGATCTTATTCCTTCCAGACCAGCTGGAGCTTAACCAGACCACCTGCACTGGTCTGCACCATGGGCCTCTGCACCACCCCTCCTTGTTACTCCTTGGCCTTTGGAGCATAAGACATTGTGTCCCAGATCCCAGCAGTTGGAAGAGGCCCCATGGGCTGTGAGTGGAAACTATACGAGAAGCCTGGAACACTTAACAGCCAATGAAAAATGTCCCAAAGTCCTATTTTGTTCTCTCTTGACAAAGTAAAGAACAGTTACGACAATGGGTATACTCCATCATCCTGACACTGTAAACAAGGAGAGGGGCCCCAAGGCAACCTGTGATGGGCAGACTGAGAACAAGACATAAACTTTTGTTGTTCTGAGCTACTGAGAGTCATCTGTTGCTTCTCACTATGACACACTTTGATCCTTCGTGTCTGATGTAGTCAGAGCCCCAGAATGAGAAATCGATGAGAAAACCGAAGCTGTACTCTTCTTCCCTCTTCATCCTCCCTGAGCATCCTTCTAGACCTTTGTTTAATAAGCCACTGGGGATGGTGTGACATGCTCTTGTCACTGGGCATGTTGAGCACCAGGCAAAAGGCCACCAGGCAGGCATAATGCTTATTCATCCCAGTGAGCAGCTAGTTGGGTGGCTCCCTCCCAGCTCAAAGAGAATAATGGTTAGAGAAAGATGCCCCAACCCTAACCTACCAGAGAAAGTACAAAAAAGTTGATTGAAACTGACCATACCCCCAGCCAGTATCATCCCTTAGCATTGGCAGATACTGTTTTCTGTAACAGGATTGTTGAATGGCACCAATCGCTGTGATTCACTGAATGAATTATAAATAGAAACCACTTCATGCAGGCCACAGTCTGCTGAGACCCCATGCCCTGCTTTCTGTAGTTATAAATAGTAAAACTGGTCTCACTATAGATATTGCAGGGTTGCTATAAAGATGGCAGCCAAAGCTGGGCTTTCCTGTACACATCTATGATCCCAGGCTAAAGGGGCAGGCTACATAGTGAGATCTGGTCTCAAAAAAAATCTAACAAGCAAAAGAGAGCAATGCATGCCAACTTAGGAATGCTGAGGCTGTGTGATCACTGCAGGACCAAACACTGTTGAAAGACAGAATAGACCTAACTGTGCATGGAAACCATAGGTCAGCATTCTAGAAGTCAGAGCTAGCAACACCAAGGATAGGGACTTGGTAGGTAGCTTGCCACATATGTGAGAACTAGAGCTTAGATCCACAGAACCCCACATGCGTATCAGGTAGTCATGGTGGCCCACCTGTAATTTCTGTCTCAGAAGGAAGGAACAAGGGATCTTCAGAGCAAGCTAGCTAACAAGACCAGCCATAAGAGACAAGCTCCTGGCTTGATTGAAAAATCCTGCCTCAGTGACTGTAGAAGGAGCTGTGGGCCACTTCCCGCCGCCCAGCTCCCACACTACTAGCTTTACCCGAAATAACAACACACAAATTGTATTCTTTTAAACACTGCCTGGCCCATTAGTTCTAGCCTCTTATTGGCTAATTCTCACATCTTGTTTTAACCCATTTCTAATAATGTGTGGTGCACCAGGAGGTGGCTTACCAGGGAAGATCTTAACCTGCGTCTGTGTTGGGTGGGAGAATCATGGTGACTGCCTGACTTGGCTTTCTTTCTCCCAGCATTCTGTTCTGTTTACTCCGACTACCTAAGTTTCTGTCCTATCAAAGGCCAAGCAGTTTCTTTATTAATTAACCAATGAAAGCAACAGATAGATGACACTCCCACATCAAGTGACTAAGAAAAAAGATTGGGGACGATTTCTACCATCAGTCTTGGCTCTCTACATACGCACACACACATAGACACATGCACACACATACACTCACATTCTTTCACATATGTGTAAGCACATACACACACACACACACACACACACACGATGGAAAAAGAAAGATCAACAACAACAAAGCAAAGAACCACTGCTCTGGGTCGCTCTTTCACAGCCGCCAAAAGAGCTGCTTATTTTGTGGTGTCTAGGTTGGCCTGATGCCAGGCTGAGCCTGGAGTACCTGCCAAACCCGTTCTGCTCCTGACTTCCTGCCCAGATTCTAGTAGCCAGTTTCCATCTGCTGGCAAATATTCCCATCTGGATGTACCTGGGCCACTCTGAACTAAATCCTCACATCCTCCCTGCCAACATTCTGTCCTGAGCCTCTAGTTTGTCCCGGCCTCTTTGCTATCTCTTTCTCTCAGCCCTCATGGGGACTCTTTCCAAATCTGCTATCATTCATTTTCTACAGCAGCACTTTGATCTGCTCTTGTTTTTTTATTTCTACTGCCCCCTGCAGACCTGGGTATCTACCTGTACACCCCCAAAAGCTACCACAAGAACCTTCTAGCAGAGTTCTATCCCAGGGACGGGATCCCTCTGCCCAGAAGAGTGACATCTCCTTTCCCTGGCATCTTCCATGTATGGCTCAGCTCTAAGCCTTCATCCATCCACAATCTTGTTTTCCCAGGAATTTTTTTTAATTAAATTCATTTTTTGTATGCCTAAATGTGTGTAATTTTATTGGTAATTAAAATAAAGTATTGAATACTTGGTTTTAGCAGTTCCAAACTTTTAAAATATATTGCATAAAAATTAATACCAAAACATACTAGAAGTATAATCCAGAATTTAAAAGTCTTTGTTGTCTGGTTTTTTCCTTGATTAAATTCATTCTTAGATAATTCCACACATGTACATGGTGTTAGATTCTGGAAGGGAAGGAATCACTGT